TTTTGGGTGGCTCTGCTCATCTGGTACTAACACTGACTGCTCTCTGGATAGCTGAGATTTAAAATGGTCAAAACCTCAGTGTTTGTCTCAAGAAAAAGTGCATATTTTTCAAGATACAAAAAAGAAATCACTGCTCCATGAGACACGTGCTGCCGCTTAGGGTTATGTTTCAGAGGAGGAAGATCCTCTGCTCCCTCTTTCCAAAATCTGTTTTATTACACAACACTAAGAGAATGGGACTTAAAAAAAAGTTAGAAATAACTAAAACTGTGATGAGCTTTCCAGGGATATAAATGCCTGAAGGATTCAACAGCCCATCTCCGTAGAAGGGGAATACATGAATTTCTCATGCCTGTTCTCAGGCCCTGCCAACTGGAATAATTTTAAGCACAGATTACCACTCGTTTATGTTCAAAATGGTAACATTTTCGTTAAGGAAATTCTATTTGCTTTGGAAAAAAAAGCCAGAGAAGGATTTGAGTGCAGACCTCAGAAACACAGACAGACCAATCAAGCAACATTATGATAAAGTGTTTATTCATTTTTTTTTAAATATCAAATTTTTTTTTTTTAACACATCAATTTTGTTGATAAACAGTCCCCCAATATTAAAAAAAAACAACACCCAAAAATCAAAAATAAAGAATCAAGTGTGTATTACTTTGGGCAGAACCACATCTCATTCTCTGATGACACCACCACCACTCCCTCCCTTCAGCCACCTGCGAGGACAACCGCGGTATGTTCAGCCCAGAAGAGTAAATGACACAAACGCAACCAGCTTTAGGATTCCTGAGTATTGATTCCCTCAAGTTCCTCAAGTGAGTTTGTAAAACTCTTAAGCTAAAAAGCATCAGTCAAAGAGTAACCCAAACCGCTAGGCATTTGGATCACGGACTAAGCCTCGTCTACACAGTGCAGGAAGAAATCTCTTGAACGCTTCAGAAGGGAATGATGGACACGAAACCGACCCCATTTCCCAAGCTGACTTCTGAGAGAGGCAGGCAAAAATACCTCTTGATTTCTCCTCTTTGAATTCATGTTAAGAGTTCTGGGGAGCCGTTTGGCAAGAAGTCCAAGTCTGGTGAAGAAACCTCTAGGATCTGTTCCTCCTTTTATTTGTAAATGGCATAGTGTGTTAAAGAAAACTTATCTGGAAGTTAAGCATTCAGCAAGTACACTTAAATATTGCTACTTTTGAGGAAAGGAGACAGCAAGAGGGAGAGGCAAAGACAGAAAGAAGGAAACATATCTAGGAGGTACAAGGTTAACAGTCCTGGAGACCAAGTGTCTACGTAGAAAGTTGAACATACGTAGCAACAAGGCAGAGATTGTCACGATAACGCAGCATCGCTCAGCTTTGTTCAGCAGCAGGTAAACGTTTCCATCACCAGGAAATATTTCCTCCTCTTGTCAGAATTATCTGTGCCCAGAAACTTTCAGATGTCGGTATTTCACTAAACATCACCTCTAAACTCACCTAGAGCCTCACGTACAGAAACAGCAAGAGGCCAGATAAATTCATTCACCGTCTTTGAGGAAAAGAATACATCTCAGAAACCAACAGCAAGGTACGTGACCACAGTGGCTTCAGGAAACACCTGGAAACGAGCTCTACAGACCCACAAGGGTCCCCACAGGCGCTGGCATCTTTATGAAGCAGCTTCTGAGTGTTGCTTTAGTCTCTATAGATGGATTTTTCATACTGAAATTATTCTGCTAAGCTGATGTGACATTAGTACACTAGAGCACTGACGAACGAGGAGGGGGAAGAGAAGAGAGTGAAAAGCCTTATTTTAGGCCGGAGTACATGGCTCCTTGGAAACCTGAACAGCTTTTGGCATTAACTTTATCCCCTGCTCTAGCCAACAAGCTGTGGCAGTCTGCCATCCCTGCCTAAATAGAAGTATTCCCACTTTGTGGGCCAGGTAAGCACAGAGACCAGTTAAGGGATTGCTAAAGGACGTGTGCATACAGCGGAGAGGACACACATGCACATTAAAACAAGACAACTTTTAGACAGCGTTCACTAAATGTGTGTTCTATTACATTTTAACCTTAAATACTCACGACTGCCCAGATTTTCTCCAACATAAATCTTGCTCCTAAAAACATCATTCTCTAATTTAGCAGCACATAGCCATTCACTCAAGGCAAGGCTCTGAAATTAAGAGATTTAAATCACCAGGCTTGGACCAACTTAGTTTTAAAAGTATTTATCAGTTGGGGGGGGTCAGGCTTTGTTTCTAGCAGTTCAGAGAAAGTTACCCAGGAAATTCTAGCACTATTGATAAATGCTTCAGTACAGCTTTGGCAGAAGGGCAGATTTCAAAAATTATATTTGACAAAGAATAAAACTGAGCATTGAAGCAAGTTGGCTGATGCTCTAAAGCTTTTCTAGCGTAAATTCTGTATATGCAGTCTAAGTAAACGTGGCCATAAAACTAGAGCCTTTAACCAGTTTGGTGCAAAGCAGCGGTACTTCGTCTAGCTATTAGCAATTGCTTCTAAAAACATAAAGTGTAAATACGGAAAGGGTATAACATTGAATGGCTAACATCTGGTGCTTCAAGTAGCTGGCAGTAGATGAACCTGCTGGCTAAGGGCACAAATTCAGCTTTTGCGCATCCAAGAGGGCTGGTATCTGCGTACCGGACAGGGGCTTGCTCCCAGGACCACCTCACTAAGACCCGTGGTGTGAATCGGGAGCAGATTCAGCTGTTTAGATGGAGGATGCTCTGGACCTGAGAGCTGGGAGCTTCACTCTTGTTGCTGCTTTTGATAGCAAACCAGATGCAGATGGGAATGGGTCTAATCTATCTTATTTCCTAAGGCTTCTAGAGAGAGATCTGATGACACTGTACTCCTGTACCAGCCTGAGCACTACCTTTTACAAATGGGGCTTCTGCTGATTTGAGGTGCTCATTGTAAGGAGAATATTTAAAAAAACTTCAGCAGGGGTAATTACAACCACCCACACAGTAAAGATCATAAAGCTGTAGTCTTGCCTCAGTAACTAATTTTGAACAGAGCCTCAAGTGAATTACTCGATGCTGCTCTGCCAAGGGCTCCCCAAACAGCCAAGCACTGCTTCCTACATATGCATGGAGCAACGCCTGCTGCTGGCATCACAAGCAGTGGGGTGCAAGCTAAATGTGTCCGGGAGCCCCAGGCCTAGCTGGTACGGTCACAGCTCATGCAGAAGCTCCATTTGACGGATAGAGGAATGCCTTAAAGCTCTTAGTTCTTCTAAAGGATCTCCTGGCTGCCCAAGTGTCTAAGAAAAATCTGACAACCACCACTCATTGACTTCAGAAACTCCTGCAAGTTCACAGATGAAACCCAATTTGTGTTCTTTTTAAATGTCACCCTGCATGAAAAAAAGCCTAGCATGCACGGAGGCAAATCTGCTAAGCAACAGGGAAAACACAACACCAGGAACACAGGCCTGAGACAATGGTAACAAATGAAAGCCATGAACAAAAACATGTTTCCAGCCAGTGCTGACCCATCACTTCAGGTTTAGCTCAAAGCAGAAAGCTCAAGATGAACACTTGACACAAAGCCACTTTGGAGATTTGCAAGTGGGACCAAGTAAAAGTTCCTACTTTAAATTTGGTATCACGTTTCAGCCACGCTTTCCTTCCTCTTCCCCAGCCCCAACAGCGTTTTGGGGCTCTGCAGAGCATCACAAAGTAATTCATCCCCCCGCCAAAAAAAAGCATCTGGAAAGGGCTTCCTAGAGCACAGCGTCGGTGAGTCCTCATCATGCGGGCTACTCACCAGGGACTTCCCAGAAGGCCACGATGGTTATAATGCAGAAGCCACGTCAGTGCATTTGTTTCATAAACCCTATTGGGGAGCCCTCGCTCTTTAAGAAGTATTAAATTAGTACCCCACCAGCCGCTACAGGCTTTCTGCAGTTTGCATTTCCACAGCTGAGAGGCTGATCATCCCCAAAACATCGAGATAAACTAGTGCAAAGCAGATTTCTTCATTCTTCTGATCACATCCCCACTCGGTGCATAGAGGATGCATCCAGTGAAACAGTTCATTCTTCCAGGGGCAGAGGGGGATTAAGAACCATAACACACGGTTGGTTTGTTCAACAATTTCACCGTTAAGGTTTTGCCTTAAAGTGGTTGAGCTTGTTCTTTTGTATGGGGGAAACATGATGTGGGCAAGGCTAGAAAAAGAAAAGTGAAATACTCCTTTTTCCCCCTCCCTCCCCACCCCCCTACAATTAATACCAGCACATCTTCAAATAAGTTAAAACGTCTCTTAAGTTTGGTAGCACCAAATTCTATCCCTTTCCCTTCTTCTATCCCCATGTTGTAAACTTGAACGCACTGGCCCAAGAGCATAAAAGGGTTTGGCAAAAATAGGCATCAGCCTTCCCCGTGCACACACAAAAAGCGCACACTTCCGAAAACCCCCTCCACCCCTCACTCCTCTTGTAAAATGTTACACGTCTGTGGGCATCTACATACCTTTAGTAGCTGCCATAATAGTTTCATCAGCGTCACAGATGGATATTGGGTTACAAAGCGCAGGAGAGCTAAAACAAATCCACAAAGTCCGTTTGGACAAGTGCCGTTTTGCGTCTGCACCATACCGATCTCGGCGTGCACCTCCTGTCCTGTGCACACGTATGCACGGTCAATTCACTTCATGATCTGCTTTGCGCTGGACAGGGTGGCGATCTTAATGGCTTCTGCTTTTTATTCGTAACATTGGAGCTTATTCTAAAATTGTACATTTAAATAAAACCATTAATTTTTATCCAATATGCATAATTAAAAGCTATCCTGTCCACACAATGCTAGGACGTTTTCTTTCTTTTAAAAGGCCAAACCTAATGAGTGAAACAGAAGAGACAAGTTACTTTGGCTGCAAATAATTAAAAAATCTGGCTCAACATTCTGCTTGTACATTATGGTGTATAATTTAGATACGTCCTTTGAAAGAAGAGACACCCCAGTCAGCTACCTCTTCCATAGTTACGTAGGAACGACGATACTCTTGGCTAGCAAAATGAGAAGAGCAAGATCTGCGTTTCCATCTGCTCGTTCCAAAGCCTCAAGAGCTTCCCGTGTGGTAAAACCAGCGCCGAGGATCCGATCAACATCGGCCGCAGGAAAAGCATGTGGTGGAGAAGCACCTGAGGTAAGTCCAGTATAGCCAGCCGGTGGGATCAGCAATGGTTCCTCACACCCACCCAACGGCCACGGACCTTCAGGAGCAGAACCGCTGCTTCTCCCAGGTGCTCCAGCGAGCATGCTCCGAATATCTCGAGGTTCACCTTCATCCAAAGCAGGTTTAGTTGAAACAGATGCATTTTGCTCCAAAGTCGGACTAGTTGGACTCTGATAACCTTCTGCCAAAACCTCCACCTGCTCAGAGCTCTGTTGCTGGTCAGATGTCGCTGCAGAATTCACCACAACCAAATCGCTCTTACCTGAAAACTTCTGAATCTCTAAAACACCTTCTGTGAGAGCTGACTGCACGTGTCCGACAGACCCAACGCTGATGTTTTCCATGCCAGAATCGCAAGGCTGTTTCCCCTCTGCTTTTCCACCTTCAGACCTCATCTCATAGAAGGAACAACTCTGTTCCTGGCTGGCTGGATCTGAGCCTTTCTGCTCATCGTCAGAAAGCCCCTGCTGCTGTGCTGCTGGCTCTCTGTGAATCATTTCCAGCTGAGAGACTTCTTCAGAGGCAAGGCTTTTACATTCTCCTTTCCGACTGATAACCAAGAGCTTGTGCAGCTCTTTCAAGGCTGATGCTATAGAGAAACATGGCTCATCTGAAGGTCTTCCTGGATCTGTGTCTGGCTGATGGATGCTGGAAGGGGAAGAGCTGTCTTCAGCTGCCAAATCAGACAACTCGTTGTACTTTACAGGAATTTCACTAGTGCTTTTAGAGTGGGGGACATTGCCAGTGGAAAGCTGATCACTCAAGGAGGATACAGACTTCAGCGACTCCACCTCCATAGAGACGGCGTCCGAGTTCAGGTCAGACACGCTTCTGTTCTCAACCTGTCGCTTCTGCTCGCTCATCGAGCTGTGCGCTTCAGCTACAGACTGCTCAACTACATCTATTTCCATGAAGGCTTCCACATGCATACGGCTACAGGAGGCTGACATTCGGATACTCCCTTTTGCACCGGAAAGACCTGCTTTCTCCAGTCCATCTCCTCTCGTTTCTGTAGGAGGATTTTCCAGCTGGCTGGCTTCTTCCACAACAGGTTTCTCAACCCCACCAACATGGTAAGGAGGTTCTGGGTCAGTTGTCTCAGTTTGCTTCTCCAGATGTTCCTTCTCTGGTTCTTTGCATGTCTGATGGGTGTCTACGGGAAGCTCATGCTTTTGCTCCTGTTCTGAAGACAGACAGACATCTTTATTTTGCCCATGCTTAGCAGCAGTGTCAGCCAAACTATTTTCTTTTGTCACTTCCAAAGGATGTTCCTGACCATGGTCTTGTTCTTCAGCATTACATTCCTTTAGACTGTCAGCAATAAATGTTTCTCTGAGTGTCTTCTGTGAAAGGCAAGCTGGATCGCAACAGGTTACCTCCCCTGTCTGGGGAGAAGGGTCGTTATTTGCCAAGGAAGCGATATTGGAAAGATGCTGTAGTAAGAGAGGATGTTCTTTTTCTGGGGTTATCCGGCATTCAGTTGAAGACTCAAAAGACTTGACGGCTCTAGGATCAATGGGCTCTGCGAGGCTAGATTCGGATGAGCAAATTGAAGCAGGGGCAGAGACAGAACGATCAAGTAATTTATTTGTGGGATTACAGATCTTGGAATTTAGTCCCGAAGATTGGACTGGATTTTCAAACCCATCAGAAGCTGGTAACGAGGGCATTTCCAGTGAGGTAGTTTCTTTGTCACTATTCTCTAAAAGAAAACAGAAAGAAAGAAGTAGTTAGGACATGAGAACCACTGGTTTTCACTGTAGTAGCGAAAAACTTACAAACCAATGGCTATAAATACCTGGTCTGTGGCCCACTCCAGCTGCAGTAAACACACACTACATGCATCAAGGCTTCTGACGTTCTGTTTGGATTAGGAAACAAACACAGCAAACTTGTGTTAGCATTCAGAGCACACCCCATGCACGGTTATCGTCCTGCAACCTCGCAGCTCCCCTCCCGGCTGTCCATCAAGACAGCATGCAAGCAGCAGGAGCTCCTCACGTTCATTGCCTTCCAGGAGGAGTTCTGTCTGGGAAATTCGTTACGTCAAGTCAAAAATAACACCGCTGGAGAACAATTTAAAGGCTGTTCTGTACTATGTCACTGCAGAGTGATCCGTGGGTGATACTACATGCTTGATAAAATATACTCAGCACAAGGCACGTGTCTAGCACTGTACTGATTTGTTCTCCGTACAGCTGAAGACATTCAGGAGCCATGTTTCAGGGAAATGAGAATTAAGAGGGCATCACAAGTCCTGGACTGTGCTCCCAGCAGCTATCGCCTTGCGATGGCTAGTGGCATCATGGGGAGGAGAAGGTGAGCAAACATCAGCTTGCTGCAAAAGGGAAGTGGTAAAGATCCAAGGGTGGAAGGCAGAAAGTCCCAAAAGGAACTGCTGCCCGAGGCTGGGAAAAGCAAAGCGAAGGAAGAGACAGCCAGACATCAAACCCGGCTCACTGCTTCCTTCTCCACACAGAGAACGGATGAATTGCAGATCTCTATCAGCGGTACCAAACACTGGGTCTTGTTATCAGGACAGATTAAATAAGTGAACTTATCTTGCTAACAGTCTAATCTTGCTAATGTATCAGCTCTCACGCTCTCATTAAATCACTAACGTGACCTTTGCTGTACGAGCGTGTGTTCTTCCATTAAAGCCCTACTCTGTCCAGTGTCAGATACCCAAACAGCGATCCAGATTCATTCCCTTTCCCTTCCCAGAGGCCTCCAAACTCAGCGGTCTTAAATATATACCCCCATTTCACCTTAAGTCTATCTCTTTTTACAGATACGCAGGTGTACTGGGGGCAGCTAACCACGCTCACATGTGCAGCCAAGATTTCTTTAAGTTCCACTACATAGAAGTCATCTGCCTTTTTCACCTCAGCTACTTGTTTCTTTTATTCTCTGTCAAATAAAAACGGAGCACTCCATGCTGCAATACCACACGTCTGATCGATACGCTTTGGTATAAAATACAGCAGCCCCTGCACAGAGCAATTCCTTCTGTCGGCTGCACATCTGGTCTTAATGCAGCTGCAACAACTTGGTGACGCCAGAGTATTAAGAAGCCAGAATTATCCTGCAGATTTTCAGGCTGCTCATCTTTCAGAAGGGTGCAGAGAGGCTTGTGACACAGGATACAGATGAAAACCAGAGGCTTCTTGTTCTGTTTCTACGCAGTAAGATGACGTTCACGCTCTCTGCTCCCACACCAGTCCTTGAGAGAAGAAGCAGAACTGTCTTTTGACTCAGTGGATCGGTAATAAGGGTCTGATCAAACACGCCAGGGATTTGCAGTCATTTAGACAGCAGAAGTAGCTGGTACCCTGCCAATTCATCCTCCTGAGACCCACTGTCACCTTCCTCCCAGGGTATCTCCAGGAGCCAAATCCCAGCCCCATCAAGGATATAGATCCCGCTAACACCGGGAACAAACTCTTCTCCACAAAGTGCACCATCAGGGATAAATTCCTCTCTATTTTAGGAAAAACCTGAGTTGCGTATGCGGTGGCAGCACCTTTCTTATATCGAGACTGTCTGGATGAAAAGCTGTATATGGGGTAAACTACCTGAACACGCTTCTTCCTAAAGCATCTGTAGTTTTGTTGCTAAATCCTCCGCTATCACCGAGTTTCCCAGTGGTGGTGGGGAAAACAACTGCTTATTGGCAGAAAAGAGCAAGCAAGCAGCCGTAAATGAAGCGGAGGATCTAGATCACAGTAAAACACACCAGGACTCCACTAACACCTCAGCCACTTTTCCGTAGGTGTTGAAAAACCAGCAAGCCAGCTGACAGAAACCATGAGGCTCGCTAAAGTGGGCTTCAGGGGATTAAGCAAAGCTCCAGAATAATCCAGGTACATTCAAAAGAAGAACTTTAATAGCCTACAGATGTACACAGCGATTTCTGTTGTACCATCTGCCAGAAGGCAGCAAAAATTCAAGCTGTTCTGAAAGAACGCAGGCCTTGCAGGAAGCTTCCTTGGTCCTGCACTATGTTCTCTCCCTCTCTAGTTTCCTGTTCTTTCACTTGGTTTTCCTGGTACCACCTAGCAGCTACAAATAGTGTCGTAAGAGAGGAAGAGGGTATACGTTAATATTCTGACATCTTAGGATACAGCCTGCGAGCCAGAGGCTTGTAATACGTCTAAGGCTTACACACAGGCAAATCTAAACAAGGCCTACCTTAGTTTTGTGCACGGGTGTTCTACAAGCATCAAGTGAATGCACAAAATGGATTTCCTATTCTCATAAATCTTTTACGCTCCTCTAGGGCTCAGCGTCAATGGAGAACAGCAGACTGCTGATCAGTCTGAACAAAGCCACGTGGTCTTTAGAACTGTATTGGCATATAAGCAGCTTTGATTTAAGTCATTTTAGGTGCTTTTCATTTTAAAGCTCTGGACTAAAATGCCTTTATTGTAAAGACTCATATATTTTGGGCCGAGGTTTGTTTTTTTATTCGACCCTTTCAGCAGAGAACTAAGTCCAACCAACTACGATGTCTGCGAAGTGTCATCCAAAATGGAAAGATATTGCAAAAAAACAACCCAAGCGTCATCAGCCTCCAAGTTTTGACAGAAAAAGAACGAATATTTACATCTGCACGTTTTCTCTGCCAGCGTATGTGAAGAGACATGAGCCCAAGCTACCAAGTCCGACCTTTAGCTAGGTCAAAACCTGACAGGGGCAAGGTCAAATCTATGTGCGTGTTTCTCTCTACTTGCTTCAACTTAAAGGTAACAAGCATTCAAACTTGGCTTTAAAAGGTTTATACATCCCTGAAAAACTTAGAATGGAAGAAAATTGGTCAAAGAGATGAAAACAACTTCATTATTTGCAAGAAAGTCACTGCTCACTCTTTGGACTATCAAGCAGCAATTGGGAAGTGTTAAAGAAAAATTTCAGTGCCTTACAACTGGTTTTATATATATATATATTTTTAAATCTGGTTATCACACTTCAATTTTAAATACAGGCATGCTAGAGTCTTAAAAAATTAGCAGTCAAAATGTTGAAGAAATCAACTTTAGTGGCTTAAAGAGGACCCGACAGAGAGTTTTGCATGTGTGTGGGAAGCAGAATCTTACTGCGTGTTTTCAGAGGAAAAATTAGCAGTAAAAGTCAAAAGTCTCTACAAAACACTTGCACATAAAATGTTATCTTTAAAAGTTTTGGAAAAGGAATTCATAGCTTGACTGTAATAGTGGGGAAAAAAAATAATGCTTTCCTTTAGTCAAAAGCACATGCTGAAGTTAAGGGAGAAGTTAAACAGAAGAGCCGAGTTTCAGACAGTTTGGCTCATGGCTTAGCTTTCAGCTATTTTGGCATCTCCACTTAACTAAACTTTGCAGCTACCGAAACCTTCCATAGCCCAGTCAGTCTGCATTTGCGCAGCTCATGGCTACCAGAGGCGCAGGGAACAAAACTACGGGGAGGGTGAAAATTCTCTTTGCAAATCATATTTAAGGCGGATGATATACATTAGGATGTGAATTTAGCTGCTGCTTTTGAAATCTGGAGCAACAGTAATCTTCAGTAAGAGAAGCAATTCACCTTCCAAAGGCACAAGCACCATTCTAAGAAATAAAAATGCTGAAATAGGACTATTTCTAAAAACTGTCATGAATTTTTGTCCAGAGATTTATACTTAGCTCCTCTATTTTTATATGCTGCAGCTATTAAGAACAGGATTTGCGGAAGCTTCCACAAAGCCATGCTTACACGAGGCTGCTAAAATACCACACAACCAAACTGTGTCCCTGACTACGCACTACAACTCGACCCAAAGACAACCGTTTATCTCCACACCTTCGAAGTCCAAGAAACCAGAGCAGGTAGGAAGTTGCAAGGAGAGCGCAAATTAAACAGCAAGCACCCCCGAAATGCCTTCATGCAGACAGATTTTGCTGTACAGAAAGGAAGAGAAGTGCAGTTAGAGGCGACGAGCAAGAATAGAAGCCCCTTTCTCTCCAACATTTCCTCACTGATGCTGTATCTCCTAGGAGCTGAGAAGAGAATGCTGACAGACATCCTGATACACAGCAAGAAAACTATGCAGATTAATATTTCAACTGGGCTCTTCCTGGTACCTGCTTCCTCTACGGACTTCTGTATTGCTTCTGCTAGTTCCTGGTCTGCAATCTCCTCCGGCCGCACGTCTTCCCGACCGGCCCCGTAAGCCAGCCGGGCGCACTCTGGGAGCTCGCCCTCTGGGAGGAAAGTGGTCTGCGAGCCAGTTGTGCCGATCACTAGTACATTCTTCTTGAGATCAATCGAACACTGTGAAAGAGCATAGAGACATCAGTGGCCTGTGTAAGAGCCAGCCAATTCCCAGAAAAAAAAGGAGAAACAAGGTTAAACAATTCATTTCCAATGGCAATAGCTCATAGCAGCTAAGCAAAGCGGACCAAGAGCATCAGCTAAAAGCAAAGGGCTCCAAATGACTTGATTTGTAATAAATCATTCAGCTGGAAAGCTCTGAGCATCTTTGATGAGAGCAAAAAACCTTTAGGGAGCAACCAGACACCCTAGAGCTGTCCGTGATGCATGCAGCGTATGTACTTCTTTCGTAACCGGCTGGAAGATAATCCACCATCAACTGTCACCAGAAAAATCCAAGTAAGTTCACAGGCATGGCATTTCTGTTGCACTTAGCACTTAACTTGGAAGAGCCAGTAACTGTTTCAAAAGATACCTGATGCCTCTTCAGCATATCCAGTCCTAGAAGCATGTCCATGGGCTGCTCTTCAAGGATTGAGAAGGAGCACGCCAGGAAATCCCCTTCAATCTGGACCTGAGCTGAAATGCAAGGGAGAGAAGTTACCACCTCGCAATGTTATGGCGCAACACATCTGCTTTCTGCTCTTCGATCTCCTGGGAAAGTCTGCACAAACCTGCTGGGTAAATCTGAAACCAGAGCTCTGACGTACTGACTTGGTCACAGAAAATCTAGCCTTGTGCAAGCCCCAGGGACTATTGCACGTTAGCCCCATTTTTTGCATGCAAACACATCCTCTGAGCCAAGGACTCCCTCGCCTAAAAGTGTTAAGATAATTCCATTAAAAAACTTTAAATGAGACAGAAGCCAGACTACTGTGCCCGAGACAAACGAACATATTACATATGCACTTTTATTTTATTCTGTGGGAGCTTTCAACATTAAACCACATACACCTCGGTGCCAAGATTGTGGGAAATGCAGTCAAACTGCTGCTAAAGCTGCCCCAAGAAGAACGTCAGTACTTACCTAAGTGCACTCTGCCAATTATTTTCTGCGTCCCTACACCTTTAGCAATGCCAGCCCACCGCCGATCTACCAGCCTCATTATGTTGCACCTTTCAGCACAAGCTTGGCTCATGATGGTCATCTGGGCACCTACCAGCAACAGAATTTGTGTTAAATCCTAACAGCTCATCAGAAATTAAAATTCTCTCCTGGAAGGGCTTAAGATCTTGCTGGGAAACAATGCTGCATCAGGGCATAAAGGCTTCCTGTGAATCCCACTGCCTTGAATTGACTGTATACGCACAGATCAGCACTGACAGCCAAGTGGGTATTACTGTCGAGCTGGAATAACCCCAAGTACTTTCCCTTTAAGGCTGCGGATGGGAAGCACAGCATTAAAGGCATGCAAAATGCCCCCCATCTGTAAAATGAAATAAGACGCACATGTGGCAGTGACTTTTCTGGCACTGCAGCCACCAGACCCCGGAAATTTTCCCAGGAGCCTTGATCTGGGGGTGTTCAAGCACTTGTGTGCGCTCCTTCTCTCAACAATTTGGTTTTAATTGGGTGCTTCAAAATCTTGTTATGGAATTTTTGGGCAAAACTTCTGGAGCATTTACTGTCTTCCCTCAGTGTGGGAGAGTGCAAAGAGAGGAAAATGGGGGCAATTCACCTGAGTCAACGAAGGCTTTCACTGGATGTCCGTTGACTTTGCAGTTAATATACAGCATCACCACCTGGCCAAAACTCTCGGGGGCCTCTTCCATTGCTATCGTCATATTTTCTTCAATGTTTTGTTGCCTGAATTTAACAGAGAAGAGAGAGAAAAATCAGACCTTCCATCAGCCGAATCTTATAAGCATCCCTCCGACTTACAAACAAACCTGGTAATCCCACCCGCTGCAGCTCACCTTAGAAACAGCATGTTTAAACCACAACAAAGACTGCTCCGTTAGCTAAACATAGGCTTCTTAGCAGGGGTATTGCTAGTAACGATCTTGGCTTAATCCAGAGACACCAAGTCACTCCCCAGCAGCCACAAAGACTGTTCCTTCCAACACCTTGCCTAACTTACACTACAGCACCGGACAACCTTCTGTTTGCAACAGAAAGCTGTCACCACAGAGTTAACCTGAAGAACTTGTGAGCGAGAAACCTGCGTATTTATTAGTCACTCTAAAATAAAGGGCTGGGGGCACACGATGAAGATGTTGCCAGTAGCTACAACACTGGAATCCCACACAGGAGCTGAACATTAAAATCCTCCAACGCTTCCCCGGTATCTTTTCTTTTCCAGGCGAAGGAAGGGAGGGAGGCAAGCAAAACCGCAGCGAGAATACCACTGTGAACACATGCCCTTGGTGCAAATTCAAGCCTACAGAAGAAACGCTCATCAAGAAGCACATCACGGCCCCTACAGTAATCTTGGAAGTGATGGGTATCCGTAGTGACTGTATCCAAAATAGGTTTATGTACAAAAAATGGGAAAAGGGCTTCCAATTTTGATGCCACTTCATTTTTCCTGCTCAGTAGGGGAAGGGGAAAAACCCTGAGCTCCTCTGTTACCCACCTTCTGTACTGTGGTAGCCTTCCCACAACAAGGTGGGCAGACGTGGTTTCTTGGTGGGGGAGGAAAACAGCTAACAGCATCTGAGACCTGGCTCGCTTGGGAGCTAAAGCACCCTACTGTCTGTCCCGCTTCGTATACTTGAGAAACAAAAAGCCACACACTGCCCTGTCTTCTATTATTTAAACTTAAATTGTATATACAGTGGTATTTCAGTTTGTTTTCTTGTCAAATCCATTACTCTGTTTTCTCTGTGCTCGACACTCTCCCCTAAGATACACTTGAAGGGCAGAGACGTGTCTCAAAAAAATACAATGCTTGCAATAGCTTCCAATCAATCTTGGGCAGAGCGCATATAATTAAGTAAGGAGTTCAGAGAAATGAAGCGGGGTGTGAAATCCGGGGACTGCTAGATGCCCAAACTGTTCCCTAACAGCTGCACAGCATTGGGCATGTCACCTTTATTGTCCCCCTGTCTAGTGAAGACAGAAAGCGCTCCTATGCCTCTGAGCAATGTTTCCTATCCACAAATGTAGAATTTTCTGCATTGCTAAGCTAAGCATTAATCCAGCACCAACATCTTGTCAGTCATAACGCCAGAATGACTCTTATCACAAATGAATTTTGGTTATGACCAACCACGAGCCTGTATCACAAAGACATTTCTTTACTGGGGACAAAAACATCAGTCGTGTTCTGACTCAAGGATTTATCACCCAATTTAAGAAATCAAGCCTCAGCCCAATGCAATTACATTTGGAAGACAGCAAGAGAGAGCGAGCACTGATGAGCAGACCCTATTTCTACAGAACATCTGACAGCAGAGATGTTCAGAGTCTGGAATCAGTCAGAGCCACAAAACAATTAGCAGTACGTGAAACCAAATCTCAAAGGCAGCTGGGAGAAAGGACACCACGTAGTTGTGCAGAGCTCAGCTTAGAGACTAACACAGGCCCAGCTCTCCAGTTTAAAACGTGCCTGAGACACCCAAGTGCCACCTCTGGAGAGGATCTTGGTTGATTGCTTTCCACAAGTGCTCTTGTTCCAGAGCAGACCAGCTTAGACAGCTCTGGGACACCACAGACGGACAGCGGCACTGTCCAACGGTGCTCAACTGGACACATCTAAAGGATGGGGTGTGCCTACACGTCCCCAATTCCCAACCTTCCCACGAGCAAAGGTGGCTCATTGCCCTGCAAGCATCTTAAGACAGGATCTAAACACGCTCCTTGCATCCTCCAAGGAAAAAGCATCATGGATGGAAGCATCCTGTAGAAAAAAGCAGAAGAGCTCTAAAGACTGCAAGCGACTTTGGTTTGCTACCTTATATCTTCTTCTATCTTGGCCTGTGCCTCAAGATCAAAAGGGTCAGCTGAATAGAGTCGGATCCTCTCTTGCTCCCGCCGGGCTCGGTCCTGCTGTTGCTCCAGCAATACCCTGGTGAACTTCTCTGCAGTAACAAGGAGATACAGAAATGCTTTTTACTGGAAATTACTCTTACAAATCAAGTTCTGGCACAGTAAACTCTTCTTTTTATGCCAGCATGCACTCAGGGGTAGACTCAGCAGCACAGGCACAAAAGGCTTCATCCCAAGGCAGCATGGATGGACCGCAAGGCATCAGTGGCAAACTTGGGTACCTGCCGAGATGAAAAGCAACTGGACAGAGCTCCTTCTCCTTGTGCCTGCTACCCATACTCAGCACAATCGCACTCAATTTCCTTGTGCATACATTTTTATATGGAAGAAAAATGAAAAAACCATGAAGACAACAATATTTAAAACAAAGAGCTGCTATTAGAACAGGAAATCATTTGTCCACTGCAGCAAGAATTGCCTACACCATACTCTAAAAAAACACAGCTGCAAAACCAGCAGATAAATGAGACCCAAAGCAGAAATCAGGACTACAGAACTTGCACAATTCAAGCGAGAGGCTTGAGCACACGTGTGTTTTGAAAAGCTTCAGACAGAGAGAGAAGTGTGATTTCCTAAGCTCTCGGCAAGGACAGCCTGCAAAGTCCATCACGTTTTACGCTCAGCAATCCCCAGTAAAATAACAGCCTGTACATCCAGCAAAGAGCAAACGCAAAACTGAAGACATATAAAGGCTAACAACAAAACTGACTTCAAACACAAGCAACATAGGCAAAGACAGAGCCATTATACTCCCTACAGCTGAAGGCCTACCACTGAAATCCAGACACCTGCTTTACAAAGTCTAGCCATACATTTTAAGAACACAGATTTTAGATCCCCACTTTTTGGATGGCCTCTGGCTGATTTTTACTGCTTGGATCTGATCATGTACATTCCCAAAAGGACTTGGCAATAAATTAAATTCTGTAAACACAGAAGGTTGGGGATTTACTTCCAGGAATGCAGTTCCCCACGAAGAAGCTCTCTGGCTCAAAGGCTGTTACACATTCAGGAAGGCACTGGGTATGTTTTCTTGCTTGTTTGTTTTTTTAAACTAGGTTTCTGTATAGCAGGTGCCTTCTAAAGTGCTTGCGGTGCATCCAGCACCGTCACATGGCACATATCTATGTGTATATTCGGGCACTGGAGCCAGAGCTGCACTGGATCTGTGCCCAAATACCAACAGGAGCAGTACAGAACGATGAGAGTATAACCAGATCAAACCCTGCTTCCTCCTGAGAGCCTGCTGCAGCCACTTGGGACTAAAAATGCACACCCCAAGCGAGGTTTAATGCGCACAACAAGACAAGACAGATCAGCAGATAAGCCAGCTCTGGGTGTCCTGGGCTTAACCTCTCATTTCTTCTGCCAACAGCAGCACATCTTCTCTCTCAAAGTGACGGGAAAAAACCTGCACTATGGATGCGGTGCCTGCAAGAGGTGTGAAAAAGCTTGGAAGTGCAAAGGATGTGGTTTTAACTCTGGATATGAGCTAAAGTCAGAATTAAAAAGTTAAATTGGGCAACAATGTCCATGCAAGTTCCTTTCTAGCTTCCTTTGATCAAGAGAAATCACTAGGATGTAACCTTGAAAGTGGGGAAAAAAGCCTCCTGCTAGAAGCTCCTCCTCTTCACTCATTTTCCCAAATTCAACAGGATTTATTTCCTAAACTAAACATCTTGCAGAGGTTTAGAAGCACGTCTTTCGCTACCCAAAACACCACTCTGTTTTCATACTGAAAGGACACTAGGGTTCAAAGCTTTCAGCATGTGAGGAATGAGGAACCAACAGCAGCCGCTCGCCTGCAGAGGAAGGGAAGGACACAGTGCTAGGCATCAACTGTGCTCAAAATACATGAACACTTTCAAGATGAACAAAGATTTAAACGTTTATGACTATTCCTATTGGAAAAGCTCCCTAAAGACACTATGTGCTTGTTCCTTTTCCTCTCCCTCTCTGATGTCCACTTCCGTAGCAGCCAACCATTATGGACAGAGTTGGCTTCATGGCGTACTGGCTCTGGGATGCTGCAAACACACCACCGTTATTGAAAAACATGCATTCAGGGAGTCCTGGCAGAAAAATCGGGAGCTGAGCCACTCATCTTCACAGAAACTCGACTTATCTGTCCACCTGATATTTCAAAATAGGGGATAGAGGATACTAAAGCCACCAAGCGCGAGAAATATGCCCAACTTGCCAGAAATGGTTTTGTTAGAAGGAGAGGAATTCTGCCTCAAGCGCTCCCAACCAGCACCTTTTATCAGCATCATCAGTGAGTTGCCAGCAAACATCCTAGCTAGTTAAAACCCCGTGGTTGTCTTTGATTAGAACTGAGCTCAGATTTAAAACCACCTCCCGCAGATTAAAAACCCAACTTACCACGGTCTCCACTGAGCAACGCCTCCGCCAAGGGCGGATTGCGCTCCTTCAGCAGGGACAGCTCGTGAGGATTCGCAAGCAACATCTCCCGTAGCAGTGCCGGATTGTCCAAACCCTGAGGGAACGAAGGTGCATCAGGAGGCGACGGGCGAAGACGTTGTGCTGGTGGCTGATGCTGCTGAGTGGATGTCCCAGGAACCGCGATGCTGCTGAAGTCTATCCTCGGCAGACCTTCACGGGGAAAAAAAGAGGTCAGATGCGTCGGCGCTTCACATTTACAAGTCTGCTTGAAAAATGCAGTGGAATAAAAAAACCACGGGAAGGATAAGCCGCTCTTAATGCTACAGTATTAGACTGGATTCTGTGAATAGCAATTTGTGTTGGAAGCATGGCCATGTACTCAGGTTACTGGGTTAGGAATGCTAGCACCTATTTATGTAACTGGTCTAGCCTTTTATCTGGCCCATTTTTTATCCCCTGAAATGCACTTACTGAATCGCAGACTAGTTATTTCCAGCTTCACAAAAATGAATACCACACAGAGGGATCGCAAGGCTAAACCCAGTGTCTCTAATGCACTTCTGAATCTCTCAGATTAAAAAAAAAAAAAAAAAAAAAAAGGAAAAGGAGAAAGGACATCTCTGCAGACCTGCATTGCAGGTACCCATCCTCCAGCTGAGGCAGGAGGATGAAGACCTCAAGCCACGCTCCCACACCCTTCTCAGCCAGCAGCACCTTCTTTTCCAGCGATATTTTATGAAGGGGATTTGCTAGAAGGCAGGACAGAGGAGCAGGGCTCCACTGAGACGTCATCCGAGGAGTCTTTCGCATGTACGCACAATTGTGGAACTGGGTTTGTCAAGATGCTGTTTCTCTGGGTATTTGTCACAGCAGGGATTCAGAGCGCACGTCACAACAGCCTGTTAATGCCTCCGAGTCACGCAGGCCGCATTTTATTGCACCATTACACCGAGCAGAAAGGGAACTGGCGGTCGTATGAAAATTCACACACCTTTACAAAAACTGCTGTTCTGAACCGGTTACCTTCCTCGCTTTCTCCACATTTCCCCAAAACAACAGTAAAATGGTATATGCTTCCTTAGAATACAAAATCCCCTTAAATAACAAGCCCTTTAGCAAATTTTAAAAGCCCCTTGCCTCTTCCCCAGCCACTCTCCTTCCAAAATGTTTTGCCTAGCGCGGTACTGAAGGAGACTGACAGGAGATGGGGTTGGTGTTTGATAAACACCGAGATCTTGGGATGCTCGGGGCAAAAGTTAGCACAAATCCTTTCTCACCTGGGAAACGGATGGAGGGCCGTGGCTCTATGGTCTCTTTCTGTCGCAAAATCACCACGTCCCCATCTTTCAAGCCATAGGAGGCCAAAGATCTGTTGTTGTCAGTCAGAGGCTGCTCTGCATAGACGATCTGTTCATGGAGAGAGCACAATGAAAAACAGTGCATGTGACAAAGCGGACAACATCTTGGGTTTTTTTGAAATTTTTATTATGTTAGGAAAGCATTCCGGTAAATCCTCTTGACCCATCCCAAGCTTCGGAAGGGAAGGTATGCCGTTCTCACCACAGGCACGGGCAGGCCCTGCCAAAGCACCTCTACCTCAGGCACACAAACACCTCAACAAGTGGTTGGACAATGACACGGAGCTGGTCTTACGGAAACCCAATGTCTCAGAGAAGGGCTGGTCTCTCTCAGTTAGAGGCCAAGGGTTTTACAGGAAAGCAAGCCTTGCACCAGGGCTGTTTGCTACACATTTCCCAAAACCAATCTCTACGATTACACAAGTCACAGCCCATCTTCTACAGCGTTCTCTTCTTCTGAGTCAGCACCTATTGACCAAGGGCCGACCGCATACATGCGGGCAGCGTCGATCAGGATTGATCCATGGATGATCCAGTCCAATATCCATGATCTCTGCCTTTTCCCACAACATGGATCCCCAGAATAACCAGTTTTACAGGGACTTCAATGATTAGCTCAGTGATTTCCAGTTTACTTCAGTGACGTAACTCCATCCAGACTTGAAGGTTCAGCACCCAAAGACACCACTCCCGAGACTGTAGTCAGTCCATGTTGGGGAATTAACTTCTTTTGACTATAAAACACAAAGTCACATCATTTTCTATTACAATAATCTGACTTAACAAGGGGTCTGCACAATTAAACGTAAAAACGCATTGAGATAAAAATGAATAATCACCATGGGAACGTTTCTGTTAACATTAGATCTGTAGTATCTACAGATGTCCTAAATTACAAGGAAGCAAAAAAAATTAATAAAACAAATAAAGAAGTGCTTTAGGGGAAGGAAAGTTCCCAGAAACAATATCTGCTAAACTTTAAGGTTTCTGTGCCTTCATCGGAGTGCAACGAGACCAGGCAGATGGGTTCAACAGCCTCCT